GGACTACCTATGCATGATAACATGAGATATATGTTGCTCTTGCCAGTTATTTCCAAATTTGGGGCTCATATGATACAGGTAATTTTTTTTATCATTATTTTTTTAAGGAATGTTAACACTTAACTTTTTCGGTGGTCAAATATCAATACTAAGCAGCTACATAAAACTTAGCCTTAGATGTGTGGTTCTATTGTTTTATGGGATTTTGAAAGATAATAGATTTGCTATAGAAATTTGTATTCTTTTTTTTTCCTCTTATTTGTAATGCTGGTCAAAGATCATAATAAAGAAAATTTCAGTTTCAGTATATAACCCTGGATTTTATTTATGCAATTCAGCAACAATAAGAAAATGAGCTTTGACGGCAGACTCCCAAGAATATGCTCCCTCCCCCAGTTGGCAGGAATCACTTACTTGCCTGCAGCTGGGGACTTGCAACTTCCTGCCAACATCCCCACTGACTTTGGTTGTGGGGAACCAGTAGGAAAGTGCCCTACCTAATTAACGTGGATTCAGTTAACATTGGCAAACACAACTGCAGGGATTGCCATCGGTAGCAATGCAGTTGTGCTTTATGGCTATTGGGAGAAAATTGGAAGAGGAAGGACTATTATGTCTGTTCACTGCCTTGACTTACTTATAAAGTAATAAAGGCAGAATAAAAGTCTAATAAATAAATAACCCTGCTTTTGAATCACTGAAGCAACTATGTCTTTTTAAGGCTTATGTGGCCATTTCATAAGTTGTCTTTTCTCTGCATACAAGTCTCTTGGCCTATTTTTTTTTTTTTTTAGCAGAATGGAATCCTCTTGAAGGGTTTGCACAGCTTTATTCCATATTTTACAAAGTATTGAAAACACAGTGGTATTGATGTACAATAATTGAAAAAGAAATGATATTTCATCAACTAATATTCATATATCCTTAAAAAAAAATATGTCAGCTTTACGGGTCTGGAACTTGATTTCTATTTTCACATATTCCCAGAATCATTCTACACTTGAATAACTAAAATAACAAAACAACACAACAAAACAAATATGTGTGTTGGGGCCTGAAATTCATAGTCAGACTTAAAAATCTTGTCTGTCCTGAGACTTTGATACTTTTTAGTAATCGCAGGTGACCTCAGCCATATTTACTTAGAAGTAAATCCTTCTATATCTAACAGAATTATTTTACAGGTTCAGCATGCATGGAATTGCAATTTTAGGAACTTGTGTCTAGCAATTCTTAGGCGATCCAATGGTAAGCACAAATAGTAAATATTTTCTTTGAACCCGATGGCACACTTAGGAATTGACATGCGCCAAATCACAGTCAGTGTAAATGATAGTTTAGGTAAATAAAGCTTTTGCTCAGAAGTGGAACATATATGCCTCCTAGCTCCTCTTTTTTTTCTGCCTCTGAATTTTAGTATCATGCTGTTCTGCCCAGCATTAGGATTCCTTGATGTATTTCTGGGAAAAGAGAAGTGATATAACCTCCATTTAAGTATACGCATCCATACAAACAGAATACCATATCCAAGTCCTCATAAAACTTACCCCATGTGAAACTCCACTTATTCTTATGAATCTCCCATTTTTCTGATCCAACCATTTTATCTTTTAGTGTTTTTTTAAAATAACATATTGTTCTGAATGCTAAAATAAATGACTGCTATACTTCAACTGCTTCATCTTTGTTATCCTCTGTCTTCATTTTTTCTGTACAATTTCAAAAGAAACAATAGAAGGATAATATCATAGGCACAGAACTCAGCTTTAGCGGCATTAAGTCAGTAGTGAAATCCAAATTATTTTTACTACCGGTTCTGTGGGTGTGGCTTGGTGGGCATGGTGTGGCTTGGTGGGTGTGGCTTGGTGGGCATGGTAGGGGAAGGATACTGCAAAATTCCCATTCCCTCCCCACTCCTGAAGGAAGGATATTGCAAAACCTCCATTCCCACCCCACTCTGGGGCTAGCCAGAGATGGCATTTGCCTGTTCTCCGAACTACTAAATATTTCCGCTACCGGTTCTCCAGAACCTGTCAGAACCTGCTGGATTTCACCCCTGCATTAAGTACTTAGGAATACTCTGACACATGAAAATATGGATAACCTCTTCATTGGTCAAGTTCTGTGCATGTGCTGGGACCCTCACACATGCAAGATTTAATGTTACATATTTCCTCTTAAGATCTCAGGAACCATGGAGATTTCATTTCAACTAAACTGACAAAGTCTATTTGTATAATCTCTTTTGTTTAGGTGTAAATAAAACCAAATTCATACATTCCAGCTTGCAGCCTGAAATATGGAGAAACTAATTTCGCAAGAACTTCTCTTCTTCTGATGCCCAAATTATTAAAGGGTGGGAGATGATGCCATATCTACCATCAGCACAAAAGCCCAGACTTTTAGTTTTGATGATTGTCACAGCTGATTGTCGGAACCTTTTTTAAAAACTTTTTTAAAGCATTTTTTTACTACCTATTGCCTGAACCGTTAGTAAAAAAAAATGCTTTAAAAAAGTTTTTAAAAAGGTCAGATGATCATCTGTACTGTGCGATCATCGGAACTTTTTTTTTTTTTACTTTTTAAAGCATTTTTACTACCGGTTCGGGCAAACCAGTAGCATTTTCACTACTGGTTCGGGTGAACCACCCCGAACCGGTTGCATTTCACCCCTACCTCTGACCACTTTTGCTGAAACTATAGCAGACTACATCATGCTTCATTGCAGCACTTTTTCCCAAGAGTTTAGAAATCATATCCATACAATTCTACAGGGGTATCATCAGTAGATTGCCAGAATTCCCAGCAGCCACTGGAAAAAGAGAAGGGGTTGTTTTCCAATCTGGGTTAAAATAACTATACATGTTTTTGCTCTTGGCCTGGTGCTGATTCATTTTGGAAATGTAACATGGACATTTTTCCCCTTCCATTAAAAGGTCATTCACCAAGAGAAGCTCTACTCTCCAAGCTTTGATTTTGAATAAAGTCATTTGTCATCCTGCACACATCCAGAGCTGCTATTGACAACTCATTTTCCCATGGGCTCTTGATTGGGATGGGAAAGGACAGTAGGGATTTTGCCAGTGCTGCCTAGAAACCACCCCATGTTATATATAGCATGTGGAACATATTGATCATGCATTTTTTTTAAAAAAAAAAACCTGACCTTTTTTTCCTTTCAATTCAAGGATGGATGGAAAATACATTTACTGCATATGCATGTGAGAGAGAGCCCTTAATGTACTTAAGGAGAGTGCTGACCAACTGGCCACTCTTCTCTCAGACATCTTCAATCTCACATTGCATCAGGCCATGGTTTCATCATGTTTTAAGACCGCAATCATTGTACCAGTGCCCCAAAAAACTATAATTACATGCCTTAATGATTACTGACCAGTTGCACTCACTTCCATTATGATGAATTGTTTTAAGAGATTTGTAAAGGACTATATGGTTTCATGCCTTCCCCATAGTCATTACAGTTTGCCTATCAGAAGAACTGCTCTATAGATGATGACTTTCCTGTGTGCTTCATCTTAGCTTGGCGCACCTGGAGAAGAAGAATGCTAATGTGCAAATGCTGTTTCTTTATTTTAGTTTGGCGTTCAACGCAATCATTCCTCAGCATTTGGTGAACAAACTGGGCCTATTAGGTTTTAATACTCCTTTATGTAATTGAATACTGGATTTCCTTATTGATAGGCCCCAGTTTGCACGAGTTGGAAAAAAAAGTTTCCAACTCCATCTCCTTGAGTACAGGTTCCTCACAGGGTTGTGTCTTGAGTCCATTACTGTTCACCTTGACGACCCATGACTGCTCTGCCAAATCTGCTATAAATCATATTGTGAAGTAGGCGGATGATACTGCAGTGGGGATCTTATCCGGGATGACAATAAAGATCCTTTTAGGAAAGAGGTGAAGGCTCTGGTGGACTGGTGTAATAACCTGGTTCTAAATGTTAATAAAACAGAGGAGATGATTGCAGATTTTAGAAAGAGCCGGCATAGTCATACTCCACTCATTATCAAGGATGTAGCTGTGGAGGTGGTCAACAGTATTAAGTATCTGGGGTGCAGATAACTAACAATCTGAACTGGTCTCTCCACACACCATCCTTAGTGAAGCGTGCAAACCAGCATCTGCATTTCCTGCGTCTTTCTCCTTCTATCCTAGCCACTTTTTACAGAGACATGATTGAGAGTGTTTTAAGAAACTGCATCACTGTTTGGTTTGGTGGCAGCAGTGTCTCAGATAGAAAGTCCATACAGAGAGTGGTAAGGACAGCCGAGAAGATTATAGGAAGCTCACTTACTGTTATTCAGGATACTGCTTATAAGTGCTATGTGCTTAGAGCTCAAAGCATTGTTAGAGATCCCACACACCCACTTTACGGTCTGTTTCTGTTGCTGCCCTCTGGGAGGAGGTTTTGAAGTATTTCTAGCAGGACTACTAGATTCTTTAACAGTTTTGTTCCCTGTTCCATCCATCTGGTAAACTTGCAAGATTCGCTTTTCTCACCATATACATGTATACATCCGAACTAGACTCTGTTGTTTCTCTGTGTCATATAATATATGTGGGTATATGCATAATTTTGCATTTATTTATTTTGTCATGTTTATGTAGTGTACATTAGAAGTGGTGACCCTTGGAGAGCTGTATGCAGCAAAATTCCATTTTAATGTATGCCAATTAGTGTACATTCAAAGTGACAATAAAGTTATTCTAAGTTCTATCTCTACTCATTGCTAATTAAAGAAGATTTGTGTTCTCAGAATGTGTGATATCTGCATGTGGTAGCGTGGTAATGTTTTATGTGAGAATATGAAATTTGCTAGCTCTCATACGTAGAGGAAGATTTCTATCTGTATTAATATAAGGATTATAAAGTCCATGTGGTGTGCTGTGTTAATAATGATAATGTAGGATATACTTGTTCTCTGATAAATTCTTTATAGCTGGTCAAGGGATGATCCAATTAATTGTCACTTCATCTTAGGTATCTTCCACCTAAAAGTACCAGAGTCATCTCTTGTTGGTTCAGCTGTTGGAAGAATCAGAGCAGTGGATCCTGACTTTGGGAAAAATGCTGAAATTGAATATACCATAGTTCCAGGAGATGGGGGGAACTTATTTGACATTAGCACAGATGAGAACACACAAGAAGGAATCATCAAACTGAAAAAGGTATTTAGCAAAGATACGAGATAACTGTCTACCTCAATTTAATCTGCTCAGGTAAACTGATAAGATACCAGACTTACTGGCATATGTGACTGGATCAGAAATGACCCTGATGTATGATTTACATGTTCATATTTAGGTAATTATGACTTTTATCCAAGTGCAAACTTTTTGAAATTTTGGCATGAGAATAAAACTTGGTCATTTCATTCAGGATGGGTAAGTATGATTGTACTCTTCTGAAAATCATGGTTTAAAATCCTGGCTTCTTCTTTAAGTAGAGCTTGACCCAGTTCAAGTGAAATGGAAGATCATAACTAAGGCTTGTCGTACAATCTCAATTTAGTCAGCACTTGTTTTGTTTAGGGATTTTTGCTCTGTTTCTTTGTTTCTTTCATTTCAAAAAGAGTATTTATATTTTTAAAGACTTGCTGATTATGCTGAAGCACTGGATGGTGTGATCCTCCTGTAGCATCGTGTCACAAACCTTTTCCTTGTACAATCAAAACATTTTGAAGCTGCAAACTCAAGCTTATCAGGACAAGAAAATGAAATTGCGGGGGGGACCATTATTATGGTCACATAGATTGTATATGTCGGGACCCTTCAGAAACTGATTTTGTAATTGCAGTTTGTTGTAGCATAAGCTCAGGCAGCTGAACCCATACATAACCAAAATCTAAGGCTAATCTGAATTATTGCTACATAGTTGGCTTAATTGTTGTTGGCTTAATAAACTTTCAGTTCTCTGTAAATCTGTGAAAAGTAATTGCACCCTGGGGCTTGTTTGGAGATAGTTTATGTAAAAGTAAATGGGAGGTTTTTTAGATGAAGAAAGGCACAGATATATATATATATATGTATATATATATATATATGTATATATGTATTTTATATATATATAAAAGCTTTCCTGTATTGCCCCACATAGCTGCAACATCCATCTCTCTACTGGGGAAGAAAAGATTGAAAACAATGTAAACATTACCTTTTCTACTGAGAATATTTCATCAGATATGCTTCATCCACTCCTGCTTGGTCAGCCGTTACGTTTCCATGTGCATGAGCGAGTCCTTAGTCTGCTTCTAGTTTTCCATAAAATCTGCTTGGAATTCCTCTTTTGATCTCAGTGTTGTTGTTTAAATCTTCATCCAATCATTAGCTATTAGCAATTTAGTATTTGTCATCAGCAAAATCTATCTCAATTGTTTTCCACTGAGGCCAGATTCACAAAACCAAGTAGCAATTGAATTCAGGTCATCAGTAATGTCACTACATTGAATTATAATCTTAAAGAGAATTTTTATAAAATGATGCATGCTGTCATATGACACTGGATACATGTAAAAAACAACGTAAAAGGGAATTTCAAATATTTGTTGGAAATGTAACAAAAGGTACATTTTTTTTCATCTCTGGTGGACATACAAGAAAGCTAGAAAATACTGAGAGCGGATATGTATTTTGATCCAGGAAATTTTAAAAGTGAATGTACAATTGAAACCAAAGACTTTTCTTTTGGATTTAATAGAGAAACAAATGGAAACACCTTATGGAACTTTGTTTATATATTGATAACAGCAGCGAGATTTTTATACACACAAAAATAGAAGGATGTTCAAATACCTACAATGGAAGAATGGAAGGTGAAGCTAATGGAATTGGTAGAGATGGTGAAATAGACACCTTTGTTTAAAGAAAACATCTTGAATAATTTTGTTTCTACTTGGAAATCACTTTCAGATTATTTTGAGAGAACAGCAATAATAATAGCACTTAAGTTTATATACTGCTTCATAGTGCTTTACAGCCATCTCTAAGCAGTTTACAGAGTCAGCATATTGTCCCAACAATCTGGGTTCTCCTTTTACTGACCTTGTAAGGGTGAGGCAGTGAGAATTGAACTGCTGGCAGCCAGCAGAATTATTCTGCAATAGTGCATTCCTACTACTGCACCACCACCATGGCTCTGGCGATCTGAAAATAGTGAAATGTTGATTTGGGGATTTGATGATTAGAGGAATATGGGATTACAGAAATAATGTAGAGCCTTAGAGTAAGAGTTTGATTTGTTTCTTAATTCATATCTGTAGCATAGAAAGTTGAAAATCATTTTTCTTTTTCCTTTACTTTTTCTTTCCTATATATCCTACATACACACAAACACATTACCCCCCCACACACACACTGTATATGTATGTGCCTGTATGTATGCAAGTGTGTGTGTATTTGTCTTCATGTATATTTACTATGCTATTCTAAATTTATATTATCCAGATAGCTAATTTTAATTTCTTCTTGTTGTGTATTTGTAGGTTGAATAAGATTTTTAATATATTTGGTTTCAGATTTAACCTTTTTTTTCTCTTTTTTTTATGAGGGAGGGTCTGTATGTACTTTCCTTGACTATCTTGGCATTGTGAATTTAGTTTTGAATATTTTGAATATTTGAATACCAATTCTCTTGTGCTGATTAATGAAAAGTTAAATAAGATATATATTCTAGTACTTGTTATTAATGTATGCTTGAATGCATGTCAAAACGTTGTGTATTGCCTAAGGGAAAAATGATAACAAATTTGTTGGCTGGAAGAATATATATTAGATTCTATTTCTTATTAATTCCTATTACTTTTGTAACACAGAATTTATGGGAAAAGGACAGAGTAGATATGTGTAGTTCATCTTATATCTCAAAACTGCAGTTGCTAACTCTTTGACTTTAAAACAGACTACAGCTCTGCTATTTCCCAAGAATGTCTAGTACCTTGCTGATTATTTCATGTCTTCTGACGCCACATAGTGGTTTGTGTAAAAATAGCAGCCAAATAAAACAAAGCAAGTTTAATGCATTGCTAGCATTATAGTTGAAAAGTATTTTTATGGCCTCTAGCAGAGCAATTTTATTATTTATTTAGGGGATTCTAATTTGGAGTAATTCAAAAATACTTGATGTTCTGTCAGCTGCAGCTTGCAAGATGGAATGGAGAAACATTTGCTGGATGCCTTTAGTTATTTCTATTTTTCTACCCTTCTATTGGAAAATAAATAAATAAATAAACCAGCTGAATGCAGCAGGAATGCTAGCTGCTCAGGAAGGGAGTGAATAGTTTTCAGCGCCTCAGATTCTCCCATCCTAACATCAGAAGGAATAAGCCTCAGAGGCTGATAAGAAGTATTGAAGAAAATCATAGAGATGACCTTGCAGATCATGTGCAAAACACAATTTTTTTGGGGGGTGGGGTGGGGTAAAACATTAGAAAGAAACTTTAGCTGGTCCACCTTGATAGTTTTTGGAGGGAAAGGCAAAGGCTTTCTAATTTCTGTTATTGTAGCCCAGTGTTTCTCAACCTTGATGACTTTAAAAATCTGATTTTGCTGGACAGCATCACATGGAGTATCTCACGCTACTGAGCCATGGTGGTGCAGTGGTTAGAATGCAGTACTGCAGGCTACTTCTGCTGACTGCTGGCTGACTGCAGATCGAATCTCGCCAGGCTCAAGGTTGACTCAGTTTTCCATCTTCCAAGGTGGGTAAAATGAAGACCCAGATTGTTGGGGGCAATATGCTGACTTTGTAAACCGCTTAGAGAGGTCTGTAAAAGCACTGTGGTGCAGTATATAAGTCTAAGTGCTATTGCTATTGCTACTCCGGCTTGTACAAAGGTCATTATATATTGAAGAAAGAAATGCCAATGGAAACACTCAACTGGAAAGTAGCAATTTAAAAATAACAGGCAGGAATTTTATTGATGGATTCATTCAAGTAGCCAAATCATAGATAGATAGCCAAGAACAGTCAAACCTCTGCAACTTTAAGGCTTGTAGACTTCACTTCCCAGAATTTCTTAGCAGGCCCTGCGGGCTGGGGGATTCTGGGAGTTGAAGTCCACAAGTCTCAAAGTTGCCAAGGGTGGAGACCCTGGCTTAGAGTGTTCACTAAATCAGTTGCAAGAAAGAACAGGGGCATGTTTCAATAGTGGATTTTACTCTGGGACAGTCTTTTGTATAAACAATGATGCACACTAACCCACAAGCAGAGTTAGTTAGAATATTCTTCATTGCTATCCATTCTAAAATATACTAGGAAAGATGTAGCATTTTGTTCAAACTAACTAATAGGAATGCTATAGAAAACTGAAATCAAGAAATTAACATTATTGAGTTTTAAAACCGTGGCACTGTACGTAGTAGAGATAAATTATTTACTGTCTCCCATTATGATCTTTCAGATGACTTGAAAAAAAAGCATATTTATACTACTAGGGAGTATACTATGTTGGTTCTTCTCTTTCTCACTATATTATTTCAGACACGTGGAAATTGGACAGCAAAATAATGTTTATAATTTGAAAAGCAATTGAAAACAAAGCTGTCTATTTATTTATAGTATTTCTGCACCATTTCAACATATGGAATAAGGCAGTCAATATATAGAATTCTGGTTGAAAGAGAACCTGACTTGCTTTCATTTCATATCCCATGTTGCCTGTAGTCTATCTATATTTATCAAGTTTGTGCAGCAAGAAAATGTAGCGGAGTTAGATGATTGCCCCACAACTGAGACACAGCCTTTCCTAGAAATTCATAAAGGATTGTCCTGATTTCCTTGAGGGGCTCTGTGAGTTTGGCATGCTGTTAATACTTTCAGTAGCTCACTCTGTGCCAGCAATCATTAGAAGAGCAGTGGCAGAGAGCGGATAAGTAAGAAAAAGAAACACAAGAGTTTTGCAAATGAATTATTAAATTTATGGAACTGATCATATGCATTTAACAAAGGTTTGACTAAGTAAGCAGTGTTGTTTTGTTTTGTTTTGTTTTCCTTTGCTTTGTTTTGTTGCCTCATTTTGCTTCGCTTTGCTTCTGATGAGCACGCCATTAGTGTGTTCCATCTGACTCAATGATCAAGAGATTATGTAGTAGGTGAATCAACTCCTCAGCTAACAACTCAGCCAGACTTGGGGGGGGGGGAAGAAGATAGTTGAGATAGTTAAATCAATGTATCACTGTGTGCAGTGGTGGGATTGAAATTTTTCTACTACCGGTTCTGTGGGCGTGGCTTGGTGGGGCAGCACCTTGCTGTGAGTCACATTGAGTTGGCCATGCCCACTCAGTCACATGACCTCCACCAAGCCATGCCCACCAAGCCACACCCACAGAACCAGCAGAAAAGATAGCTCCTACAGCCTGTCCCTTTATGGTTCCCCCCTCCCCCCACATTGAAGTACCTTAAAGGGACACTACAGTCTGGCTACCTTCTGAGCGAACTCCACTGTGCGAACTCCACTGTGACGCCATCCCTCCAGCACAGCTGGCTGTTTTGGCCAGGTCTGGCAATGGGGTACAGTCACGCAGGTGCACCAGCAGGCAATGGGATGCACGTGTGCGGCAAACAAGAAGAACAGCGTGGCAACGGGACTTCAGACCTCTTTTTCAGCCTATAGTTTTCAGCACAAGAAGCTTCTTTGCCAGCCGGAACTGAACCAGCAGTGGCGACTGGAGGCTTCTCATGCTGAAAAAGAGGCTGCGGCTGCAGGCTTCTTGTGCCCTAAACTACCAAAAACTACAGGCCAAAAAAGAGGCCTGAAGAAGTCCCATCACCACCATCGCATCGCTGACCTGTTCTTCATGCATCCCATTGCCTGCCAGTGCCATTCGCAGCCAGACTCAACCAGGAGAACAGCCTGCTGCGCCGGAGGGATGGTGTCACAGTGGAGCTGTTCAGAAGGCAGCCGAAAAACACAGACGGCTGGAGGCTCGCCGGCCAAACCTCATCCCCGGCCCCACCAAGGCCTGGATGAAGGTGAAGGTTCATATAAACTTTCAGGTTGTTGCATTTATGTTTTCCTTCCTGAAAGCAGATTGAATGGGAATCCCAAATACCAAAATTTATAGCCTTTGACTGGTGGGTCACTAACTGCATGCTTATAAAAGCCTGTTTTCTTAAACGAAGACTGAACAGCATTCCTAATTCTGCATAAGGATTCTTCCCTAATTCTGTTCACGCAATGCCAGTCAGTGGATAAATATAGAATTTGTTTAGCTGTGCTAGTCTTTACAGACGGTAGACAGCACTGTTTTGTTTCCTGTTACTGTTCAAAGACTATGAATGAACATAAATATGTCCCTTTATTTTTGGGTTTCTGCTTTCTTTTATAGCAACTGTCTAGTCAATCATTTTGCTTATGTTGTGTTCTTCACTATTATTAAAATAAATAAAGAAACATTCTGCTAGCCCCTTCTTCGAATCCTAAATTGTTATGAAAGCTGAGCTGCGATTTTAGGGGGTGGGGGAATTTGCTCCAAAGTGGAACAATTCAGATTCCACCTGAGGTTTAAATGGAAAGGAAATAAATTGGGAAGTGGCACAGTTAATTACAGTAAATATTTGCCCTTGGACCCATTCATGTGTGTGTGTGTGTGTGTGTGTGTGTGTGTGTGTGTGATTTTTTCCCTGGTGTTTTTTAATGCCTGCATATGTGTTTGTATATTTAGTTCTGTCTCACCATAATTAGAGCTACTTTATTGACATTAGAATATTAATAGATGTTTAAGTGTTGAATATAGATCATTTTTATTTTTGCATCCAATAGTTTGACAAATAAATGTGCCTTTATTGACAAGAAAATTGATTGTTCTACATGAACATTCACATCATAGCAATGATCCAGATCGGGATTCTGCTACCCTACTGTATGCCCTACTAAATAATAGCAATTTAGGAATATGCAGGTTTGTAGTTTTAATTCTGGTATGTGTGTCAGTTTATCCTGAATATTTTGTAATCTTGAAAAGTTGACTCTTCTTGACTTTCAATGGCTCCCTATTTGAGGCAAATGAATCATCTTGCTTCTACAGTAGGCTGAAGTATATGGTTTAACTCATGCTTTGCAAATGAAATTGACACAGCAGTCATTGCTCCTGGCAAGAAGCCTCCATTGACAATAAAAAAATAATAACCAACATGAAGAATGGGGTCATGGAAAGTTGGTCTTCAGTATTTGGAATCTAAACTTGTTATCAGATTTAGTCTACAGAACACAATGAAGGAGATTCTGGTAGAAAGATACAGAGAAAGCTCTATGAAATGCTGTAGAAAGGCATTTCATAATTAGTATACCCATATTATTATCTTCATTGTCTTTTCTATGTCAGAAAATAGCACTTTATTTCTCCCAGAGCTTTTAGTGATTTGTTATTTGTGATAGATTTAAACATTTATTACCATTTTTACTCTTTGTTATTGTTTTTTAATGGTGTATATTATTGTTTATTGTGTCTTGCATATTTTATACAATGTAATGGTATCAGTTGTTATCAATGATTTTAAACTTCCATTGAAATTTTAGAATTTATTGCAAATCATTTTGAAATAAAAATATTTTATATTATATTTTAATTGAAAAAAATTCAGACTGAGAGATTTTTTTGATACCCTTTCGTTTTTGCATTTTAAGATAACAAAATGAGGTTGTTATAATACTGACCACAAGATGTCAGTGTTTGCCAGGAATCCACCAAAAATAGCCAATAAATGCCAAACACCCAATCCACTTAAATTCTTGTAAGGATGGGAACAGCTTTTGTTTCTTTTCAGAAGGCATCAATAAGTGACACCAAGAAGCCAACTGTGCAATCTTTAAAGACATAATAACAAAGATGTTTCCTTGATTTCTTTTGCAAAATCTCTGTAGCTGGACTCTGAATTTTGTACCACACATTGCAAAATGTGCTCTGAGTCTTCACTTCAGCCTCATCAAAACTGTGTTTGTATAATAAACAGTAACAAAAGTTAATATTCTAATTTGGTTAAATGAAGTTATGCACAGAGGCAACATTTTCATTCTGTAAAAAGATCTGAGAGAAATATATCCAATTAATCTGAATTATTTTTCTACATTGCAGCCACTGGATTTTGAAACAAAAAAGGCATACACTTTCAAAGTAGAGGCTTCGAATGTCCATCTTGACCATCGCTTTCATTCTGTGGGTCCATTCAAGGATACAGCAACTGTGAAGATCAATGTCCTAGATGTGGATGAGCCTCCAGTTTTCAGCAAACCGTTTTACACCATGGAAGTATATGAAGATACTCCAGTTGGGACCATTATAGGAGCAGTTACTGCCCAGGACTTGGACATTGGAAGCAGTGCTGTCAGGTAAGGAAATGTTTCACAGCTCATGAACTCAAACTCATGAATGAATTGGGAGCAGTAAAAATAATCACGGAAGGTATAAAGATGTGCAAAGCTGGCAAGTTTATGAAACAATCCCTTGGATTTCTGGAAACATCTTTATTCCTGATAAGACAGTGTAATCAAATTTTGAAATAATTCTCCTGAAAAACTTCCACCTTGTATAATTTAGGCAGAATTATTATATGTCTCTTGTTCAGTCTTTCCCTGGATCCAGGAATCTCATCTATAATGACCCTAGGATCAATTTATCTATTAAGCACAATAGGCACACTTTTCATCAGAAACAATGAAGTAGAAGTTCCTTTTAACAAAAACAGGCAAGAAATGCACATTTGAACATCAAACGGATGGTCTTAGAAATGTATGGCATAGCATAAATACTAAAATTTAATAACTTTGATTATAAGCAACAGACATATAATTGGCAGGAACTGGTTTTATCCACATGTACAGAGACATATATGCATGTATATGTTTGAGTGTGAAGTACAAGCTATATATAATTACTACTCCTTATTTCTCTATAAAAATGCAAAAGGTTGAAAATCATGTTACATGTAATTTCAATACTATTATTTTAAGGGAGGGAGGTTCCCCCAAAACACAAAGATATGTAGGGTCCACAAAAGTGACAATACAGTCCTGAATTGCCATTTCCTTCCTTAACTTTCTTGCTGCCTCTTCTGTGTTCTCAAGGTCAGTTTGGCATTCCATCACAGAAGGTGAAGTTCAAGACACTAAAGCCCTTTATTCTGCATTCAAAACCTGGGATCAATAAGTAGGTTGGTGAAGCCATATCATTTTCAGTCAGGCAGCATCTTCTGGGTCCCTTTTATGTATTCTGAATTTCATTCCATATCCTACATCACTCCTGCGTATACTTCATAACCCCTGAGCTTACAAATTCAGCTTATTTCTGTAACCTGCAACCTGCATAGCCATAGTCATGCCCTTAGTCTCACCCACTAAAAAATAGAAAGCCACCATCTGTAAGTAATACATTGTTTTCCAGATATTTAGGTTGTATACTTGTTGGGACTCATACTTGTTGGGGCTCAATACAGGTACAATACAAATACATCCTAAGTGCACCAGGGTTGTTCTCCCTGCTCAATTGGTTGATTCATTGGTTGATTTAAATATTCTGCATGATGACTTGTTCTTATAGAAATCCTTCAGAACTTCCAACAGCATCAAACTGGGTCCATCCAGCTTGTAGCTGTTTTTCCTCTTTTGATCTTTCCTTCTACCTTTCCCAGCATCACAGCCTTCTTCAGAGAGTTAGGTTTTCACATAATGCGTCTGAAATATAATAATTTGAATCTGGTCATTTGTGCCTTGCCGGAAGCATGTTAATTGTTAATTCTATCCAGTGGTGAAATCTGAACCGGTTTATTACCGGTTCACTGGCCGCGCATGTGTGCCATGCGCCAAATGTGAGCTGCACACGCACGCACAGTGAGCACCAAAAGGAGGCTTGGGAAGGTAAGTAGAACAGCACGGGGAGGAGGTGATCAGCTGTGGCACTTGGGAACCTTTTTAAAAATGTTTTAAAAGCATTTTTTACTACCGGCTCAGGTAGATAGGTAGTAAAAAAATGCTTTAAAACAGTAAAAAAAAAAAAAAAAGTCTCCGAAGATCATAGCTGTGCCACGCGATTGTCGGAATCTTTTTTTTTTTTTTTACTTTTTTTAAGCATTTTTTAAACTACCTATTCGCCAGAACCGGTAGTAAAAAAATGCTTTAAAAAAGAAAAAAAAAGGCTCCAAAGATCACAGCTGTACTGCACAATTGTTGGAACCTTTTTTTTAAACTTTTTTAAAGCATTTTTTACTACTTGTTTGCTGGAACTAGTAGTAAAAAAATGCTTTTAAAAGGTAAAAAAAAGGCTCCGATGATCACAGCTGTGCCACGCGATCATCGGAACCTTTTTTTATCTTTTAAAAGCATTTTTTTTACTACCGGTTCAGGTGAATAGCTAGTAAAAAAACGCTTTAAAAAAGTAGAAAAAAGAGGAAAAAAAGGCTCCGGCAATCGCACGGCACAGCTGTGATCGTCGGACCCAGGTTTTTTTACTTTTCAAAAGTATTTTTTACTACGTATTCACCTGAACCGGTAGTAAAAAAATCCCTAAAAAGTAAAAAAAAAAAAAAAATTCCAATGATCAACTGAGCGACGCGTGATCGTCAGAACATTTTTTTTTACATTTTTTTTCTTTTAAAGCATTTTTAACTACCAGTTTTAACTCTAGTATTACTGAAGAACTGGTAGTAAAAAAATGCTAAAAAAGTAAAAAAAAAAAAAAGTTCCGACGATCGCGTGTCGCTCAGCTGATTGTCAGAACTTTTTTTTTACATTTTTTCTACTGGTTCGGTGAACCTGTAGCATTTTTTATTACCAGTTCGGGAGGACCGGCCCGAACCAGTAGCATTTCACCCCTGATTCTGTCGTGTCTATTCTTATCAGATGGTCTTCTTGGATTCTTCTACCATATTTCCATGAATATTCCATTTGTGCTTATCTAGCACTTGAGATTCTTGTAAGCAAGGCATGTCTTGTAGGGTATCTTGTATTTTGATTCTTCTTTGAATTTGTTTCTATCGTTCCATTAGTAACTCTTAGCATATCAGTTCAAGATTGGAACTTTGTTTTAAGTTTACATATCTTTATGAAAATTTTCCTTTTGTTTGCATACCTCTTCATATGTCATTTGTTCACGTCATTAAATCCAGTTCTTGTCATTTTTAACAGCTCTGTGTTGGGAAGGAATTGAACTTTTTATTAAATTCCTCCCCAAGATTTTTCACTTTTTTGGCTTTGGCTTCTCTTCTTGTGAATTTCCCTGGTTTATTCAGACATTGTTTCTTCATCTTTTCACACTCATTCATTCATAACATCTTAAAGTTCATTCCCTATTTCCTCTGGTTCTTTTTCAATGAGGTTCAGGACTTCAAAGAAATTCCTGATGTTCTCCTTTAAACAATTGTATATGCCCAAAATGGCCTTTTCTTCTTCTTCCTTAGCTTAACTTGGAACTTGTACATAAATTTTTTGTGATCTACAGTACTTCACAGTCAACACCTGAGGCATGTCTTTCATGCTATAACTAAACTCATCCACTTCAACGTAGCAATAATATAGTCAATTTGATTTCCATGTACTCCATCTGTATTGTACATCATTTCCCTCTTGAGAGGCATTGTTTTGGTTATTTAAAGATAGTGTTAGCAATGAAGAAATAATTGAATTGGCAGAGTTTGATAAGTTATTATTCTGCTTCATTTTGGTTTCTTAAACCATAGAATACAACTACATTTTCTTCAATATTTCCAACTTTGGCATTCCATAAGCATACCTTATTTCTATGTTGTGATAAACATTCTCTTCTTCTGCAACAAGGATGGGATTATAAATGTGGATAATTGTCATAGTAAAGAACTGTTCACAAATTGATATTATTCAATCACTATTGCATTGTATTCAAATTTTGTTCTTGCTATACCCTTCCTAACTATAGGTAACATAGCTGCTTCTTTGTTTTCAATGTCCTGTGTAGTGAACAGCTGATCTTCTGACAGAAAATGTGAATTCCCACTGGACCTCAATTCACTGATGCTTAAGATGTCTATGTGAAGTTGTTTCATATTCACTGTGTTGAGCATTCCTATTTTCATGCTTGTACGTTAGCTATCCCCACTATAATTCAGTCTTTGCAGTTTTAGATTTTCTCTTCCAGTGTGGTAACATCAGCAATCACATACCCCAGAGGCCTTTTAATCTTGCAACATCATAAACATCATTTAATCTTGCAACATGAGTCCTTCGGGAGAAGGACGGTATATAAATTTAATTAATAAATTTAATTAATAATAAATAAATAAACATCATTGTATTCTAAAAGTTCTTCTCGGTAGCGTACTGAGTGCCATCTGATCTGAGTGTCTCATAATGTAGTACAATATTTGCTTTTTTTTTTTTTTTTGTATTCTATCCATGTCATTTTCTTGTTGAAAAAGAACCCAGTTTATTTGCCATTGCTTTCTCCTAAACAGTACGAATGGATGTCTTTGCCAATGACACTAAAGGATCATCCACCTCCTTCATCTTTCTGTATTACTACTGCCTGATGATGTAGGTGCCTGCATCCTTTAGCTCTATTAACAATGTCCCCTGGTTACCTACCTGCCTTGCCCCTGGAATGGAGACAGGAAGAGACCCTGAGGGATATTTTTTTTTCCTGGGCAAGGTAGTTGCCAGCAGGAGGAGTAAGAGGATAGCTTCAGGGAACTGAGATTAAAAAAAGGACAGCTTGAAGAAGCTGGGGTAAAACAGAATTAGGGAAAGCTGGGGAAAAAGAGGAGTGCAAGGGAGCAAAAAACAAAAAACAAAGCTGCTACAAGGGAATGAGACTGCACTCCTTCAGAAAGAAAGAGAGATTATGAGATTGCCATCCCAGGGAAGAGAGGATGGCTACAATTGGCCTAGAGATTACTTCCTGGCTGCCACAAGAGAAAGACTGGATAGACCTCTCACTGGGTTTTAGAGACATGTTGATGAGAAAACAGGATTGGTGAGATGGTGGGATAGGACCCAAGGCCTGGACCAGGACAGGTCGGGCTGGTCACGTGGGGAAGAGATACAAGAAGGCCAGATTTCCAGTGGCTCTTTTGGAGGAAGAGCTACACTAGACAGGTGGAATGATTCTGGGTGATTCTGCTGGGAGTATGTATGTATGTATGTATGTATGTATGTATGTATGTATGTATGGAATGCCCTCCCACCATTCTTCACTCATCCTTCCCTGGAAAGCGTCTCTCTTCCTTTCCTTTCCCTAATGAGGCAGCACAGCCAATCTTGAGAAGTCTAGTCATTAGCATAAGTTTATTTGACTGATCTGAGGAGCCTTGCATGTTGGGGCAGGACAGGGAGGACTTTTGGAAAGAACAGAAAAGAAAAAGTTT